TAATAAAGTAAATAAAGCCAAGCTGTCTAGCTTAAAGCTACAGAACAGAGCAGATAAACGACCAGTGCGGCGATATGGCAGGCCGTTTTGACATTTATTAGCTTGACTGAATATGTAATCCAGATGTCTCAAATGCATTTCTTCCGAGACAAAATGAACATATTTTTATGAACATATCTAAAATAACATTCTTCCGATCTAAAAATGAATTTTGACTAGGATTAATTTCAGCTCTTAATAATAAAGTTGCTGCTAGTCATAATGACAATTTCACATATCAAAAATGAATATAACGTTACAGATATTACAAAAAACCCTTAATGTTCGAAACTAAATCATATACAGTTGTATGATTAAATTTGATCACTGCTGCTTACTTTCTGTGACTGCTCCACTTTTAAATTAAAAATGTCTTGAGAGCCGTACTAAACGAAAAATTTATTTTTATGCACTCTGTGTGTACAAAATGACAATAAAGTCTGTCTAAGTTATCCAGAAATCAAATTCTTAACATCAAAATTATATTTCTGCTAGTAGAAATGTCATTACACATATCAACTACTAATTTTATGACTAGTTAAAATTAAAATATCTCAATTTTAATAATTCCTATCAAAATGCAGTTTTAGATACTTGAAAAATAATGAGACTCATTTTAAACATAAAATAAACAGGCTGACTAGTCCCATTTCTATTATAGATAACACTAAAGCATTCTATCTAGTCATAATTACAATACTCCTAGTCATAACTGTATTATAGATATCAATAATTAAATTTCTACCAGTAGAAATTAAATTTTAAATACTCTAGAATCAAATTTGTACTAGTAAGAACGAAATTTTGAATATCTGCAAATCTTTACTAATTTGTTGTGGCTGTTTTTACATATATTTGCTTGACCGGATACATATTTCAGATATCTTTAATAGTATTCCTCCTACCTAAAATTAACATTTCAGATATCTGAAATGTAATTCTTACCAGTAGACATGACGTCAATTTTCCCCATTCATGTGAGGTAACTGTAAGATAACCAAAATTACATCACTTCTACCTAAAATAAACTCTGGATGTCTAAAAATGAATTTCAGATCTCCGGAGCCTGATTATTTTTTTGAATTTTAGTTAAAATATGTTTTTAAATTTCTAAAACTACATTTTGGATAGGATTATTAAAATTTAGATATCTGAAATTCCAATTTAATCAGTCATATATCAATAGTTAATATCTGTAATTTTATTTCTACTGGTAGAAATATATTTTAGATGTTAAAAATTGGATTTCTGGATAAAATATATTAATTTTTGATATCTGAAATTGTCATTATGACTAGCAATTACTCTATTATGCAGAGTTGAAATTAGAGTTGATCCTCATCAGAATTGATTTTTAGATCGGAAGAATGTTTATTTTAGTTAGAAAAAAATGTTTATTTTAGATATCTGGAAGTAAAAGCTCAAAACACATGAATGGGAAACATGATGTAATTTATACTGGTAAGAATAACTATCTGAAATGTTTATTTTAGAGATGAAGAATGTTATTTTAAATGTCTGAAATGTTCATTTTGACCAGGAAGAAATGTATTTGAGACGTTTGAAATATATATTCAGTCAAGGTAATAAATGTCAAAACGGCCACTTAAAATTTGTAAAGATTTCTGTGTATCTGAACGTTTATTCTTACTACACTCATACTAGTACAATTATATTTTTTGCATCCTGAAATTAAATTTTTGCTTTCAAAAATGTGATTTGGGGTTTCTAAATGTACAGTTCTGACAAGTAGGAATGTAGTTTTGAACAGGAAGAATCTTATTTTAGAGATCAACGAATGGAACAATTGAGAGGACAGCGCTTCTATTAAATGTCAATACGGCCTGCCATACCGCGCCGGTGTGTCGGGGTATATAACCAATTAGACCAGCAGGTGTTCAGAGTCTGAGCCACGAGAAGGAGGGAGATACCGATGGACTGAAAGCTAGCGAGCATCCGGTGAAATCAATCAATAACGGTCATTTCCAAAACGAAAAAAGTTAAGTTGATAGATTTTTTAAAATAAATATGCTACAGCGTTGCGAAGGCTAATGATGTTTAGCGATGTCACGCTAG